TCTGCAGATGGAAGAGATCACAGGGTTCTGCATTTGGAAGGGAGCTTAGGGGCCACTTAGTCCTACCCAGACCTGAAAAAGAATCCTCCCTAAAACCTACTCAGGAAGTTGTTATCCAGCGTTGGCTTGAGGATCTTCAAAGTCCTGGGCACGCTGAATGCTTGCCAAGTTTTTCCTTACATTAAGCCTCAAGTGTCCTCTGCAGCTTCTGCCCCTCCCCCCAGCCTAAGCTCCGCCCTCCGAGGCCAAGTGGAACACAATGCTAAAGGACCGCCGTGGGCAATAACGACAGCTGGCATTTCTATCGGTGCTCAAGGGGCTGCAAAGCACTTTGCACCCACTATCTCACTTGAGCTTCCAAACCAGTGGGAGTGGTGAGCGCTACAGATGTTATCATCCCCATTTTTCAGATGAGGAAACTCAGGCTAGGAAGGAGTAAGTAATTCGCTCAGAAACATGGTCACAAGGTTGCTGTTTACATGGTGGGTTCTGAACTCGAGCCTCGACTCCCAGTCAGCCCTGTGCTCTCTTCATCAGATGCTCACGCCTCCCTCTGGCATCAGGCTGGGGGCAGGGGCACCCAGCCAACTATGCTATGGCTAGTCTCTCTTTCATATGACAGTCCGATAAATGTCTTTGGCTGACACAGGAAGAATGAGGCACAGGCGAAGGGAGGCAGTGATCCGAGAGCCAGCATGGGCGCAATAAAGCCAGGTCACGTTAGACAAACCTCAGAATTTCAGGAGGCCCCAGTCGAGAAATCCGAAGGCAGCTTGGCTCAGGAGTTATGAAAGCCCAGAGAGAGACACTCCAGGCTCTCCAAGAGCTCCAGCCCAGTAACCAGGCTGGGTCTTCTAGAATCTCCCAAGACATTACAAAATAAAAGGGTTCTCTAAATCAGGGCTTCTTAAACTTTTTCTATGTGTGACCCCGTCAGTGAACACAATATGAATTCACTTAAACATATCCACATACTCCCTACATCAAACAGACGGAGCACTCACAAAACCCCAAAGAGTGAGGCTCACTAGAACAAAACAAGAACGCTACCACACCCACGTCTTCCATTGCTGCTCTCCCAGGCAAGAGGCCTCATCAAGCCAAGATGAGTAATTTCACGACTACAAGCACGGTTGAAATCACTACCCTATACCACGGTCCACCAAAGGGAAAGGAGTGCGACGTCCCTTATGTATTATGCAGCTATCCTGGGGGAAGAAGAGGCTCAAATAAAGCACAGGAATGCTTTTCAACGTGGATGAGACAACGAATGTGGAGAGGAGACTGAACTGTTCTTTATGGGACCAGAAGAGAAGGAGCAAAAATGGCAGAGAACTGATGTCTGAGACTGCAATGAGAAGAGGAAAGCTGCCCCCAGCAGCCCTCGAGGAGCCAAAGTCCCCCAGCTCATGGGAGCCTCCTCCCAGGGTCCTAAATGGCCATCAGTGATGAGGGAAAATCACATCGCACGGGAGCTGCCTGGCAGGCCTGCAGAAGGGCAAAGAGGGTTCTGATTTTCTTTTTTATCACAAAATTCTCATTTGCATACATTTTAAAAGATCACCTTCATTTCTGAATGTATCCCTTCTCCCTCCCCTGTCCGGGGAACCATACTTTGTAACAAAGAGGGAAAAAGCGGTTCAGCCAAACTAAGCAGTCCTCTCCACTGACACCAATAATACACGCGCTGCTCCTGCAGCACTGATTTTCAAAAACAGAAAGAAAACAGTACACAAACAAGAGACCAACGAGCTTGAGTCCAACAATTCCTGACAAAATTCTAGAATGGATTTTTAGAATGTCTTATCGAGGAGATGGAGAAGGGAACATTTAGGAAAGGAGGCAGTGATCCCAGAGCCAGCACGGGCGCAATAAAGCCAGGTCACGTTAGACAGACCTCATGAACTTCTGTGACAGCGTTACTACCTGTCAGGTCAGGAGAATGAGTTAGATTTCAGCAATGTTCTGAGCAAAGCCCTTCACGCTGTTCTCATGAAAAAGATGGAGAGAGTGGGAGACCAAAGGCACAAGCTGGGGATTCAGACTTGGGTGAATGGCTGGACCCAAAGAGACACCATTATTAACTGTCTGATGGCACCTTGGGCAAAGATCTCTGGTGAAGGGCCCCCAGGGATCTGTGCCTAGCCACATGCCATTAAGCAATTTAATCAGCGACCCGCATAAATGCACGGATTCTGTCTTTATCAAATACAAAAGACATAAAACTGGGAGGAATGACTAATGCACTGGATAGGAGGGTCAGAATCCAAGAAAGATTCTGACAAGCTCAAACACAAGTAAAAAAGATAAAGCTGAATATAGACCACGGTATGTCTTACACTTGGGTCCAAAAAATCAACTTCAGAAACACTAGATGGGAAAGTCGTGGTTAAACAACTGCTCGCTCGAAAGCAATCTGAGGGTTTTAACGGACCCCAAGCTTAATACAATTGCAGCCTAAAAAGCTAACGTAACCTTGGACTGCATGAAGAGAGGTATCACTTCCTTAAATAAGGAGGTGACGGTCCCTCTGTAGTCAGCCCTAGTCATACTGCATCTGAAGTTCTGGGTTCAGTTTGGGGAACCACACTTTAGAACAGTGCTTCTTAACCTCAAATGGGGTTGTGACCCACAATTTAAGAAGCACTGAAGGGGGTCACGAGTGGAAGAAAACCCATCAATAAACCAGAGAGAGCCCAGAAGAGGGGAAGTAGGAAAGTGAGGGACCTCAAGGTCATGGCACATGGGGATGGGCAGAAGAAGCTCAGGGAAACGCGGCAGCCAGCTCTGTCTGAAAGGCCGTCATTTGGAAGAATGGCTAAGTGCTTTTTGTTCAGCCCCAAAATGAAGTTGTAGGAGCAATGAGTAGAAGATTCAGACTGAGGAAAAATGAACAGTTAATGGAGCTCATCCAAAGGGAAACAGGCCAGCCGGGGAGTGGGAGGGAGGTCGCCCTACTGGGGTCTTTCCTCCGTCAAAGGATGGCTGGTCACTTGGACGGTACGCTGTTGTGGGGCTCCCTTCATGAGTGTGGACGTGGGTAGATGCCCGGCCCGCCTCTGAAACTTGGCAACTGTGTGATCATGTCGGTAAATCAATCATTCCAGAGGCCAAGAGACCAGAGACCCAGCTGGTAACTGGAGATTAGGAGGACACAGAATGACAGCCCTGGCCCACTAGAAGCAGCGTCCACGTGAGTGGACCACAGAAACCCTGCCATCGTTCTGGAAGAACAAGGGAGGCAAACCTGCTGGGAGCTATTAGGACTCCAGCCCTTCTGCCTGAGAAAAAAGAAGCTTCATTAAAGCAACAGATTTAGCTCATCATTATTCAAGGCCTGCATTTTCAGCCCATCTCAATTATTCAAAATATTTTTAAACTGAACAGGTGGGTCAAATGATTGCTCTGGTTTGTCTTAATTTAAGGGAGAATGGGTTTCATCACCTACATGAGGATTAGATTCAGAAAGCGTCATGGAAACGTGATCCCCCAACAGGTGGTTCCCATTGAGCAAAGAGGACTGAGTCCTATCTAGAGGCAGAGAGTGGCAACTGCCCGAGCTCCCTCCATCATCTGTCCGTCTCCCTCTAAACTGGCTCCATTTGTCCACAAAACGGCTCAGCAACAGCACAGTGCACGCCTTGACTGCAATCTGTGCCCAGGCTGCGGGGATGCTCCAGACGTCGGCCATCTGGTCCTAGATGCTTCTTTGGGAATGCTTTTAAGGTCTCCTAAGATCATTCCAATCCCACATCAACCTTGCATCATCTCCAAAAAAGCAAAGCATTTCTTTTTAGCCCGATTACAAAGTGCAAAACAGCAACTATAGTCTGAAAAAGGGGCACCCAAATCTGAGTTAGCATCTACATGGACACAGACCCCCAAAGAACCTCAGGGGACAGACACTCCAGCACCTTCACTTTTCCAGATAAGAAAACCGAGTTTAAGGGAAGAAGTGCCTTGCCTGGGGTCAGAAAGACGGCAAGTGGCAAAGCTGGGATTGGAACTCTGACCCTGCAGCTCTGAATCTAACACTGTCTCTACTGTGTCATGATGTCAGGTCCTAGGCATGGCAGTTTAGGGCTCTGAAGTCAGAGGTGTTCTTGTGACAAGGGCAGAAAAAAAGTTTAGGTAAAATATTAACGTCGGTTGTTTCAGCCGTGTCTGACTCTCTGTGACCCCATTTAGGGTTTTCTTGGCAAAGGTACTGGACTCTAGCTCCTTTTACAGCTGGGGAAACTGCGGCAAACAGGGTTAAGTGACTTGTCCAGGGTCACACAGCTGGTAAGTGTCTGAGGCCAGATTTGAACTCAGGAAGATCAGTCTTCCTGACTCCAGGCCCAGCACTCTAGCCAACTGCTTCACCTGGTTGCCCCTGGGTAAATATATCGAGTCTCTATTTTCTTTTGCAAGGGACGATTTCTACTTGGCCTCAGCCTTCCAGATCCTGTATTTAAACACCACTCCAATTCTCTCCAGTTCATAAAGCTGAACTGGCTTTCATTTGCCTACATGAACAGACCAAGTGAATGCCCATCTCTTAGGAGGTAATGGCCTCCCTCCCACGGGCACTCCTGGGGCAGCTGAGCTAACAAATGAAAAATGAAGAAAGAGGCCAGGGTCAGAGGTATGGTCTCCTGAATGTGGGGGGCTGCCTCTACCAAGGTAAGCTGAGAACCTTGGGAAGTGAACAGTCAAACCGCCAGGATTTGAACTGAGTACTTCCTAGCTCAGAGGCTAGTTTTCTGCCTGTCTGCCTCTCTTGTTTTGGCTTGCTTCCGTCAGCCTGCCCTCCCTTCACTGGGCACTGAGCAGACACTTTGCCTCGTGTGGCCACACTAATGCCCTGTGCACTTCAAATCCAGGTACACAAAATCACTCAGGCGAGGCCCTTCCCATAGGCCTGTAGCCAAAGAGGTCATTGTGCCCAGGACTCTGCTCTCCTCATTTCCCTGGGCGGCTTCGGCCCCAGAGCCGAGAGAAGAAGACCCCGCACTTACAGCTGCTGAGACAATCTGCGCCGAGATCCCCTTCAGAAGCGAATGCCGCATGACTGAGCCATGGAGTGAAAAAGAGTCAAGAAGTTTCTTCTTCCTAAAAAGAACAAAAAATTAGAAGACTAAAACTTGAAAGGCCAAGCCTGGCGGCTTTGAAATGAGCAAACCGAGATATTTAAGACCAAAATAAAGTAGAAATTTTGACGGACTGTAGCATGTCATTCGCTAGTTCAACCCCAGACTTCTTCAGCCCATTAAGATGCTTCCCAGGCCACCTTGGCAGCCCACCTTGTCCCGAGGGGAGACCAGGCAGCAGAATAAGTGGTCTGCATTCTTTGATGGTGCCTGACAAAGATGAAGACCTGCCCTCCTCCTGTGACACCATCACCTGCTGGAATGCTGACTACGAAACGTCTTCCTTCCTCCTCACCCCGCGCTGCCCCACCTCCTCCCACCACAACTTCTGGCTCTCCTCATTCTTCAGGCCGTTTTAGGGACAGTGCCAGCTGGGGTGCAGCCTCTGAGGTCAGCTTCTGGAAGTATGGGTGGGCCTAGGTGTACGAGCCTAGCAGCCTGCTCCTTCATTTAACTATCGGAGAATCACCTTCCCAGACTCTCATTTCCTCTTCTGCTTTGCTCCTTCCCTCTCTCATCAGCACTAAAAAAGGGTTTATTAAGCATCGAGGGGCACGTAGGGCACAGAGGCCTAAGACAGCCAGCCTTGGTCCCTGTCCTAGAGGAGCAGCACCTAAGAGCTACAGAACTGTCATGGCCAAGACATTTAAAAAGTTACAGACGTCCAGACATCTGCACCAACCTGGAGAATGCACATGAATTCAATAAATTATATGCATCAGGCTTTCTCCACTTCCCTATTCTTTTCATGTTCTTCCCAGGAATTTTGGAAGGAAAAAAAACAGTCAAAATGAAGTTATTTAGGGTCAAAGGTCCCCTTTCCATCCCTTTAATCATCTTCGGGCTTCTCCTCTGAACCCTCTCCGAGGGAATACAGGAATGCTGGGGCTGGGGCTGGCTTTAAGGCAGGAAGGAAGGAGTGGGGCAAACAAGGTCCAACTTCTCTTCCCCATAACAGGGTGCTGGGCTGGCCTCTCTCTGGCTGCCTGAGTGGCTTCCTGCTGGGGGAGGGAAGGGGCGCCTTGGTTACTGCACTCACGTGTGCCCCCAATCCTCAACCGCCTCCAAGACCCTTAAAGCCCAACTGGCCTATTACTTTCCATCAAGTTTGCCTTCTGCTTCCTATATGACACACAAGCATGGATATTGTCAATGACACTACATAGAACTTTAAAATAAGCAACCGCCACCATCTGCTGGACTAGCCTAGCTGCCTACTTACCTTTTCAGATTGGTTCGGTCACCACTGTCTGAGCTCGCCACTGACGATGTGTCATAGGAGTGGGTGTCAAAAGTGTCGATATTTAACAGAGTGGGATCCTCGAGAACAAAGGACTCGTCTTCATCATCGGTCTAAAAGATGGGAAAGAAGATAGTCCCACACCCTCAGTGCTTTGGCTGACTGGCTGCTTTCCTCTACTTAGGGTGGAAAAACAAACAGTCCAGCAAGCAGAGCTATTTATTACTCTGTGATGAGTTTTATTTCAAAGCAAAATAAAACAAAGATTCTCCATTAGGGTTAGTTACTCACAGTTTTAACAACTGAAGGAATCACACCAAAGTGTCCTGCCTTTATGTCTTCTATCAGGAGAGGAAGGCAAGCACAGCAACTGCTGCTAATCCGAGCAGGTGACACATAGTAGGTGCTTTAACAATGCCTGTTGACCTGACGTTGTATACCAAGATAAGGTCGAAATGGGTACATGATTTAAACATAAAGGGTGGTACCATAAGCAAATTAGAGAAGCATGTGAGAAATTACCCATTAGATTAACGGACAGGGGAAGAATGTATGACCAAACGAGATAGAGAGGATCGCAGGAAATAAAATGGATAATTTTGATTACTTTAAATTAAAAAGGTTTTGCACAAACAAAACCAAAGCTGCCAAAACTAGAAGGAAAGTAGGAAACTGGAGGAAAAATTCTTTTTATTCCAAGTTTCTCTGGTAAAGGTCTCATTTCTAAAATATTTAGAGAACTGAGCCAAATTTACAAAAATAAGAGCCATTCCCCAACAGATAAATGGTGAAAGGATATGAAGAGGCAAGGTTGCAGAAGATATCAAAGCTATCTATAGTCACGTGAAAAAATGCTCTAAGTCATTACTGATCAGAAAAATGCAAATTAAAACCATCCTGAGGTACCACCCCACACCTATCAGATTGGCTATTACAACAGAAAAGGAAAATGATAACTATGGGAGGGGATGTGAGAAAATTGGGACACTTATGCACTGTTGGTGGACTTGTGAACTAGTCCAACCATTCCGGAGAGCAATTTGGAACTATGCCCAAAGGGCTATAAAACTATGCATACCCTCTGATCCAGCAATACCACCACTAGGTTTGTATCCCAAAGAGATCAAAGAAGTGGGAAAAGGTCCTGTAGGTACAAAAATATTCGTAGCAGCTCTTTTTGTGGTGGTAAAGATTTGAAAACCCAGGGTATGCCCATTCATTGAGGAATGACTGAACAGGTTGTGGTATATGAATCTGATGGAATACGATGGTGCTATAATAAATGACAAGGAGGGTGGTTTCAGAAAAACCTGGGAAGACTTACATGAACTGATACAAAGTGATGTGAGCAGAACCAGGAGAACATTATACACAATAACATTCATGTTGTACAATGATCGATTGTGAATGACTTAACTATTCTCAGCAATACAAGGATCCTAGACAATTCCAAAGGACTTAGGATGAAAAATGCTGTCCACCTCCAGAAAGAACTGATGGACTCTGAGTGCAGACTGAAGAATATTTTCTTTCTTTTTTTTTCACAGCATGGCTAATGTGAAAATATATTTTGCATGATTTCTTATGTATAATGGGTATCAGATTTCTTGCCTTCTCAATGGGTGACAGAGGGAACAGGAAGGAGAGAATTTGGAACTCAAAATGAAAATTAAAAAAAAAAAAAATACCTGTTGACTTGACTGTCCCCATTGTCCAAACGTCTACAGATCACTGTGATTTTTTAAAAACTATTTATTATGTGTGGAAATATGTTTAACATGATTATACATATCCAACCCATATCAGATTGCTTGCTGTCTTGGGGTGGGGGAGGGAGAGAAAAAAATTAGGAACTCAAAATCTTATAAAAAATTAATGTTGAAAACTATCTTTACGTGTAACTAGAAAAAATAAAATACTATTAAGTGTGAAAAATTGTTTATTATGAACTAGAAGATTATTAACAAAAGCGAACATTTTGATAAACAAAGACCGGATAATACTATATACAGCTGGTTCCTTTTAATACATATTAAATTTAATTTGGTTGTAGTACCAACACTGCCCTCCTTGTCTGGGTCCCCTCTCATTCCTCCTTTTCTTCTCTATATTTTAAATATGTCGGGGACACCTTTCTTTCTACTCATCCTCTTTTTTGGATCCTCATCTCTCTTCCTACCTGCACCTACTCCTGCCCCTCCCCCCTGCCCCATGAAGACAGACTCTGGTCGTCCTCCTCTGTCCCTCGATGCTGCCACACGGCCAGTCCATCTTCTCTTTGTCACACAGTCCTCCCGTGGCATCCCTCTCTCCCACTCTTCTCCAGCGCTCCTCACTGGCCATAGGTTGTAGCCTGCTCACACCCACCACTCACTCTTCCACCACCCTCTATGTGCTTCTTATCTCTAGTTCTTCAGAGGCCATGGCATGTCTGTCCCAGGACTCTCTGACGCACAGCAACACCAGCAAATGCTCGTAGCGAGAACATGGGCCTTTGTGGCAATGGGGTCGGTCAAAGAGCTCTGCAGATTCCTGAAGGTGATCCAGTCTACTCTCCTCCTCTTTTTCTACTCCAGGCCCAGCTCGCTGTTCATCTGCGCCAGACGTATGCACATTTGGACAAGGTCCACTGCGTGTCCATTTAGCTGCATGTTGAAATCTGGTCAACAGATGTCCTCATCCATCTGATCTTTCTTGTGTGGACCGTCTGGGCATCTCCTTGGAGTGATCGCAGACCTCTTGCAGGATGCTCTGCAGTGTCTTGGGGTTTGATGCAATCAGCACGTCACCCATAACTAACAGCAGCGGACTCACCATCCAGAAAGGACCTGAGGCGTCAGAGCAGGTTTCTATGCCGGGTGTCTTCCATCACAGCGGCCGATACCGTTGGCAAGCATACATCAACCGTCTTAGGTCGTGTCGGAGGGCCAGCAAACAGGATCATTTCTGCTGGTTTATCTTCCAAGGAATCCTTAATGATCTTGATAAATGGGCAATTGACACCCTGCTGTAAAAGAGCCTATAAGACGGCTTTTGGTTCTATTGATGGGAGAGGACAGGGTCCAAATCCGCTTTCACCACTTCCCAGCTGGGCTGCAACTTTCATGCCCTTGCCGGCTCCCTCTCCCTTTCCCGTCAAGTCTCATCTTCTGCAGGCTCAGCTTCCTCAGGGCCTTTACCGACCCCTCTCACGGCACGATCTCCAGGTCCCTCTCCATGCTGGTGGCTCTCCTCTGGGCACGCTTTAGTTGGCGACTATCCCTCTCAGAATGTAGGGCCCAAAGCTGATCCTAACACGACATTAACCAGGGCGGAACACAAGAAGACTGCCAGGCCTCTACAGGGACGCTGAAGACTGTGCTCACCATGTCAAGCAGTCAACGGAAATCTCCTCGTCTTTCCCACGGACGCTGCCGGGCCACTGCATCTCCCCCACTTTGTACTAGGGCAACTGTTTTGACCAGAAATAGAAGCCTTTACGTTGATCCGCGTGAACTTCTTCATTTTCACCCAATCATCCTTTCAGCCTGTCTGACCTTTTCTGAATCCCGTCATCCTGGGTTTTAGCCGTCCCTCCTGGTAGCTCCGGGATTTCAGATTTGCAAACCCAAAAGCAGGACAACTCAGACTGAAAAAGACAGAGTCAATGCCCCCCGTCTGCAGCACTTGATTAGAGAATCCCCCCCCTGCAGGTAGCACTGGGACCTCCCTCCAGAGCAGGCACTCTTAACATTGTTTATGTCATGGGCTCCTTGGCAGTCTCATGGAGAAGCCAATGGACTCCTTCACAGAATCATATTTTCAATGCATAAAACAAATTACATACAAAGGAAGTCAACTATGCTGAAATGCAATTATCAAAATATTTTTTTAAAAAACGAGTTCAGAGGCAGCTAGGTGGTGCAATGGATAGAGCACCGGCCCTGAAGTCAAGAGGACCTGAGTTCAAATCTGGCCTCAGACCAAACACTTGACACATACTAGCTGTGCGACCCTGGGCAAGTCACTTAACCCCAATTGCCTAAAAAACAAAAAGCAAAAAAAATGAGTTCAAGGACCACAAGTTTCTAGACTCCCTGGTCTACACTCTTAGGATGCACCTATATCAATGGAATAAAATGACCTCTTCCACCACCTGAGCCTTCACCTACACACCGATTGATCGGGACAGGGAAAGAGATCGATGACATTCTCGGCAGCTTCTTGGTAGCGGTTGTAACCAAGACAAATCATGGGAGTCTTGGAAGCAGAGGATCAAAGCATGAAACATTCAAGTGTAATCACGGTAAAGCCCTAATCAAAGTTATTTGTACATAGCACAGCTCAAAGGACAGAAGTAAAGAACCTTCATCACCCACCTCATTGAGTATGCTTTCTAGGGTGGGAGGGGTGTCCACCTGAGGAATATCAAACTCCTTGTCATCGATCTAAAAAATAAAAACAAACGGGTGGTCAAGTCATGCAACGCTTCTTCTATAACTGACCTGGGCTAGGGCTGGTGGCAGGCCAAGGCATCCGACCTCCTAATCCCAGATGGAGACTGAACTGCCTCGTCAACTTTCTCCAGGCTCAACCAATGGCAGTAACCCCTGGGCACTGGGTCAGGAGCAAGGCCGACAGCCTCCTCTGCCATTTGGATACTCAACTGGTAATCCACTGGCAGATGAGCGGCGAGCGCTCTGGCTCTCCACCTTCCTTCCCCCCTCCCAAGGTCCCACAGCAGGAAAGCTCTGCACAGTCCCAGAAGAGTGGATCTGAGTCCTGGGATGGCCCAGTGATCTCATCAGGAAGAGGGAAGTCCCAGAACAGAACTTCCCCAAACGCAGATTGGCACCTGGCCTGCAGCTCAGTCTTACAGAGCTTCCTGGGGCACTGGGGGGTCAGGGGCTTTGCTCAGTGCCCCATAGCCAGTATAGTCAGAGACAGGACTCAAACCCAGGTCTTCCTGGCTCCAAGGGGAGCCCCCGATCACTACGCTATGCTGCCTCTCACATACGATGGGAGCAGCAGGAAAGTGCTCCATGCTGCCTTTCATGGTTCACTGCCAGCATGCCTCCTCTGGTCACAGAAACACAACAACCCTCTCTCATCAGAAGAGCTACAAGGGTGAGGCATTCCACGCAGGGACTCCCCTACGTCAACAATCATCCTCGACCGCAGCCTGAGCTCTCACCAGCTCGCTTCTGAACTCCATGTCCTTGTCCAGGTCTAGGCAGGACAGTCTGGGGAGTGAAGCCTCCAGGGCCTGGGCCAGGCCTTCCCCAAACCCTCCTCGGGGCGAGGAGGCCGCCTCTTCACTCTCAGGACCGACTTCACTCGCCATCTCAGCTTCGGATATCACGGCCAGACAGGGCCAGACAAGGCATCTGTTGTCTCTCTTTGGATCTTTTTCAAAGAAAGGAAAGAAACCATACGATTATATTCACTGTTTTTAGATTCCAAATGAGTTAGATAAGTAAAGCCTCTGTCAGAACAGTGTGGAGTCGGGAAAACTTGGGTCCAAATCCCATCTCCACCTCTTCATCACTGGGAAACCCTGGACGAATCATCGAACATCTCTGAATTCACACATCTGTTAATATTGGCTTCCTCATCTGGGAAATGAAGGATTGGACTACAGGTTCTGTGACTTCATCTACAAGCTAGGCCTCGGTTTCCTCAACCTTAACAGGAGAGGGTCAGCTTCAACAGCCTTGAAGGTCTCTTCCAGATCTAACACTATGACCCCGGGAGCCCTATCAACTTCCACTTGCTCAATTCTAGGCAAACTATTGTCAATACCTTCCCTAGTCATAGGGACCATCTCTGAGCTGTCCCAGGCGCCTCACCACCTTTGTCCCTCCTCGGTTGCCACTCTGTTCCTGCAGCCCCACCCTCCCCCTGCAGCCCCACCCTCCCCCAGGGGCCATGGCAGTCACTGACACCTTCTAGGTTGGCCTGGCCTCACAAATCCCATGCCCAGCACAGACGCAGCCCTCCCCATCTCCCTGCCTCAGAACCACTCTCCTCTCTACACTACACATGGGTTAAACGCTAACCAAGCATGAAATGGTCAGTGCGGGTGAACTGGTACATATGAGATCACAGAGGGGAAGGAAGGATGGGTCACACCAGGAGAAGCCACCGGCAGTGTTCTGGAGGCAATAACAATAGAGGCCATACCGCAGCTGCCATCTTCCCCTCTCCCACCTTTAATGTCTTACTTCCAGACAGACCTTTACCTAATTAATCTAGCCTGATCAGGACTATGTGTGGGTGTGCACATGTATGGGGTGGACAGGTAAGTTTCCAGAATAAAAAGATTTATGCCCTGGTCCTGAGAGGGTGGCGACTGGAGTCACAGAAGCATAGATTTAGAGGAGAGAAGGACCCTGGGGGAGGGGGAGGACACCCAGTTCTTTTACAAATGAGGGGATAGTAATCAGGAAGCTGGGCCCAGGTTTGTCACCTCCACTGAAGACATTAGGAGGAAAAGGGCGGAAGTTGGAAGGGTGCTGTAGCTAAAAAGAAGAGCCATTTGGCGCCTGGGCGACCTTGGGCAGGTGCCATCCCAGCCATTCTCTGAGCTTCTCTGCAAGAGGAGGCTGGTTCAGAGGGAACGTGTAGAATCTTCTCTAGAAGATTCTGAGACACACACACACACACACACACACACACACACACACACACACTGCCTCAGTCAGATGTACAGATAGTCGACGTTTGGAAGCCCTCAGTCCCTTTCCCAGCATTCCGCCCCCAACCATGCAGAAGTGGCAAGACCCCACAGGACCAAGGGCCCCTTCTGTAGTTCTCTCTGTTTCATGGGCTTCCATGGCCATAGAATTCATCCCCAAGGGGCCAGCCGGCTGGCAACAAGCCTCTGGGTGTACTTAGCTCAGCTGGTCCTCAGAAAGAAACTTGGGCAGGTGCTATGACTGTCCTCAAAGTCTTTTCCAACGTGGAAAAACCTGCTGTACCTTACCTATCTGCATATACATAATGAAAACATCCAAAGGATGAGAGACAGACAGACAGAGATTGAGAGATGGAAAGAGACAGAGACAGAGACAAAGAGACAGAGAGAACTAATCCTGGAGAGACTGGAAAAAGCCATTACTGTCTCCTGACTCACCTTTATCAAGACTATCCTTCAGTAGGCTAAAGGCACAACTAATAATAGGGTTGCATTAAAAAAGTAAATTACAAATTATTTATAATTATAAATACTCTATATTTACCAGACGCACAGGTAGAATACATATATTTATACCCACACATACATGTACATCCCTCCCAGTCTAGGATGGCGTGGGTAAAGTTCTATGCCCTTATATCTGAAAGTCCACAAGTTCTTTCGGGCTCTACCATGCTGGGAGGGGTTCAGGGATGGTCCCACCAATAGCCCAGGTTTGCTTAGCTAGGATCAGCCAAGCTAAGCACACTGAGAGGGTCATCACCAGCAGGCTGGCCAGTGGTGCACGAATTCTGTGGCCACAGAGATCCATGAAACACCAAAAACTACAAAGGTGGGCCCTCAGGCCTTTGTGGCCCCTTCCACTTCTGCACTGTCGGGGGCAGAGCAGTGGACAAAGGGATGCTTAGAATCCACACAGTTTCTACAGCACCTTTAAACTTGGCTGTCGATACTGCATTCAAAGTATCCCAAAAGTCTTGGTACAGCTTTAAGCTCTCAGACCACAGGATACCCTGCATACAAAAGCTTCCAGAAAAGGTTGAACCTTTAGAACTTGTCCTAATATCTAAAGAGGGTCAAAGGATCACAGATGGAGAGGTGGACCTGAGAGATCATCTAGTCCAAATTTTTCCTTTTACAAAGAGGCCTGAAGTGGGAAGGGCCCACCCAAGGTCCCTCAGGAAGTCACTTAGACTCTTTCCCCCTGCAGCCCATTTGCTGGTCTTGGTGTCTTCAAAAACAGATGGAAGACTGAGGCTCCATCTGCCTCGACAACAGTGCCAGCTCTGCTCCAGTTCTAAATCTGAGATCTTGGGGCCCCAGTCATTCTGTCTCGAGCAGGACCTAAAGCTTTGTAACACACTGGCACTGTGCCAGCTGATCTATATTTATCTGAGTACAACGATCTGGCCCCTCTGCTCCCCACCACTACGACATCTGGCTAACCACCCACTGGGGAGGGCAGAAGGCTACGTGCCAACCACCCAACCAGCCACGGCACTCAGGGTCAGTGTCCCCCCCAGCTCTAAATTTCCCAACTTGAGGTGGCTCTGAGATCCCCTGGAGATGGAGCAGCACTGACCTCTGAGAGCTGGACCTCCTTGGGAACCCTCAAAGACTCCTGGTGTGTGTTTAGGGGGGAGGGAGGGAGACAGGCAAACAGCCCTGTTCCCTCCTTCCTGGCCCAGTGTTCCTGCCTCTGTTCCAGGGTGGTCGGTCACCTGAATTCTCCTGTCCCTCACATCTGGCCAGTCGTTTCTCTTCTGACACCTGGGCAGCTTATTTTCCTACCTCTCAAATTGATCCCTCTTTTTAAAAAATAAAGGAGAACCCATTTCTGCAATGTAGTTTTTCCTTACACTTTTTTTAAACAAACAAGAGGCCAACCCTTCCCCACATGGCATAAGCCACGCAGGCAGCCTTTGAAGATCCCAGTCTGTTCCACCAAGAAGCTCGGACCCCTCCCTTCAAACTTGACTAGGTGCTTCATTCCACCCTCCAGGTAGATGATGAAACGTCCCCATGTGGACGCCTAAGAAACAGTGGCTATTGATGAGGCTGATAACACCTCAGAACACCAGCCTCCTCCCTACTGTTGCTCAGGCTTACAAACCATACATAATTTAATTTTTAAATGCAACCCTGTAATTAGTTATGCCCCTAGTCTACTGAAAAGCACGTCATGCAGGACAGAACTAAGATCATGCTAAAGATGGTCTGATTTCCTCTTTGTCACCCAACCTCTCCAGGCCCAATAGTTGGTATTAAAAAGGAAATGAGATTGATCTATGAGGCCTAAATGGGTCTTTACAAAGCCACTGCTGCTCTCACCTGCTGGAGGGTCCGACTGCCCGCCTCAAGTCTCACCTCACTCCAATCCACCTTCTATTCAGTCACTAACGTAATTTTCCAATCATGTCACCTCCTACTCAATCTCAGTGGCTCCCTATGGCCTCCAGGAACAAATACAAGATGTTTTGTTTGGCATTCAAAGCCCTGCACAACCAGCCTCCTCCTACCTTTCCAGTCTTCTTACACCTCAATCCAGCAACACCGATCTCCTGGCTGTTCCATGAACAAGAGACTCTGTCTCGGGGCTCTGAGTTTCTCTGTCTGTCCCCCATGCCTGGAACAGCCTCCCTCTACTTCTGGCTTCTTCTACGTTCACCGCAAACCCCACCTCCTAGAGGCAGCCTTCCCCAGCCCCTTCTAATTCCAGTACCTTTCCTCGGTTCATCATTTCCTCTTTGTCCAGCTCGTCCTATAGCTTGTTTGTACAAGTTGATTTGCTCACTATCTCCCCCTTAGATTGTGAACTCCCTGAGGGCTAGGGCTGTCTTTCGCCTCTTTTTGTATCCTCAGCGCTTAGTCCAGGGGCACATAGTAGGTGCTTAATATATTTACTGACTGACTGTGTTCTCTCCTGAGCACTAGAAAACTGCCTTCACAATAATCACTCCAGATGGAAATTTTATTTTGGCATCTTTATCTTTCCTAAGATCAGTCTTTTTCAACCAACTGACAAGCAATTATTAAGTGCTACTGGCGCTGGAGGCATTGAGCTAGACTGTGAGAGAGGACAAAGAGCTAAAGCCAGTCTTTGATCTCAAAGTGCTCTTGCTAAAAGACAGGCAGCAGGGGGCAGCTAGGTGGAGCAGTGGATAGAGCACCAGCCCTGGAATCAGGAGGACCTAAGTTCAAATCCAGCCTCAGATACATAACCCTCACTAGCTGTGTGACCCTGGGCAAGTCACTTAACCCCACTGCCTAGCCAAAAAAAAGACAGGCAGCAGCATTCCAGCTCAATGCCAGGTATCTAGAACCTCACCAGTTTTCAAAGAGCTAAAAAAAGAGTTCTGACTCTGTGGTTGGTGCTGGTCGGCTGTGCTCACAGGGCTCTTAGCACTCAGCAAGCACCTACTGTGTGCCAGGCCCTGTCCTACGTGCTGAGGACACAGAGAAAGGCTAAGACAGTCTATCGGGAAAGACGACACGCAAACAAATAGGTACAGATAAGCTCTGGAACAGACAAAACAGAAAAAATCGACAGAGGGAAGGTAACATGACCAAGAAGGCTGGGAAAGGCTTCCTGCAAAAGAAGAAATCTTAGCCGAGACTTGAAGGAAGATGGAGAGTGTCAGGTGTGTGGAGAGGTGGCGGAGCCGGCGGATGGAAGGTCTTGTCCATGGAACAAGCAGGAGGCTGGCGT